CACGTTCACCTAACAAGTTTGTTTAGAAAGCATGATTAATTAACCATAGATGTCCATCAGATTATAATGATTTTTAACTAAAATTAATATAAGCGAAAATAACCAATTTAAGCAAAATTTATCTCACCGCTGATTTGTAGCTTTTCATCAACAATTTTGTTTTTATTTTATCATCTGAATTTTTTAAATTTATTTTCAGATGGGCACTTTGATTCTCCATTCGCATATTATGTGCGCTTAAATTATATTAAATATAACATTATTATTTTTAATAGGCATTATCACTACAACAATATATTTACAACAGCTGAATAACCAGCTGAATAGGTGCGCTTAAATTATATTAAATATAACATTATTTTTAAATAGGCATTATCACTACAACAATATATTTACAACAGCTGAATAATCAACAAGAAAATGTATAATTGTGATTTGAAATTTGACAAATCTACCATCTCAGATAATTTTGTTTGTAACTATTGAATTAGCATTATTTTATGTTTATCAATAATTATGTTAGCCCTGAATGAATTACTGAGTACATTTATTAATATGTAATTAATAGTTTTATTCATTTTCGTTATAATGTAAATTAATTTTCTAAAAATATTAATCTTAATTTTTATTTACCACTTGTTCCACTTTATCAACCTTCAGAAGATATATTTATTAGTTTTATATTCATTCATATTGTCAATGAAGCATGTAATTTGGATGATATCATTTATTTATTCCATAGAGATTAGTTCGATACAATGTGTTGATAATTCACAGAACGCCAGATGGTGCTGTGCCTCGCCTTGCCATATTTCCACGGATTCGGTATTGTATATATTAAACCAACCATTTGAGATAAGAAATTTGTTTATTCATGTATGTGTTCGTCATTCTTTGGGTATTCCTGCAACAGCCGGAATCGACGTTTTTAAATGGTCTTTGAGGGCACAACTAGAGATTAATAATATAGATATATATATCTACTTCCCTTTTTTAACATTCTTTTATATTGTACCAGATTCAATTCTCAGAATACGCATATTCAAATTTTGCCTAAAATTAGACTACAGAAGAAAAAAAAAATATAATGATCACTACACAATTTCTCTTGTACCGAAATCGGGTAACTTTATTTTTGCGTTTATTTCTGCGATATCTCTACGGCTAAGTAAAGCTATTTCACACCAAACATATTTTTGCCTTCGGTTTGAACCTCAAAATTATAATTTTTTGGATGCACATAATCTGACCTATAACGATATTTCAACTATTTTTTTTATATTATCAAGAGTACTGTATTGATGGAAAACAAACCCTTTCTAACTATTGCAATATCGGAGGTGTGTGTGTGTGTGTGGGGGGGGGGGGGGGGTCGGTAGGGTGGTGGTGCAGAGTGGTTAAAATGGTTTGTGAAATCTGGAAATGCTAAATATTTAGTTATAAAAAATAAAACATAAGCAAGCGAAACTGTAATGGTATATTCAAGAGATATTTAAGCCATATGTAGTACTGTATGAAATACATATAAATCAATGATAAGTATGCGCCTAATCAAATTAAACCCGTAAACTTCTTTTTTTCGTCAAATTTATGTCTTAAAAATTTTATTACGATATCAAAATATATTTATGCATGATTTATAAAGACAGCATCTAAAAATATCACGATGAGCAAAACAGAGGAACGAAATGTATTATTAAGACAAACTCTATTGCTTGTATATTTATATCTGCACTGTATAGGCCTATTCCCCCACCCTGATCATAAAGATATTTTTTCCTGACTTTTAAGTGGCAACTTTATAGCTCGTTTGAATAGATTGTTACATACCATTAAAACGTATGATGAATTAAATCAATATTTGCACAAAATGCACCATTAATATCAGGGAACCGAATTCATGTTCTCTGCTGTTTGATCTGAAAATCGTTGATACAAAACAATCGCCGAAAGCCAAGGTTTTATTTCGGATTTTCTTCACCACAAAAAAAAAAGTTTTAATTTCAGGTCCGTGTCCAGCTACAGGCAAAAAAAAGTCCACCGACTTCTTGGGCAAAACGTTTTCTTTTTACAGACCAAAATTCACCCACCTCACGATACATGGTAATAGAGAATCGACCATTTATTATTGAAGGTGCAAAAGAATAATAAATGCCTCAATAAAAACCCTAAGGAAATGCCCTCAATTAAAATCCTAAAAAAATGCCCTCAATTAAAATCCTAAAAAAAAATGCCCCAATAAAAACCCTAAAAAAATGCCCCCAATTAAAACCCTGAAAAACCTAAGGAAATTGCCGCCTATAATATGCAGGGTAAAACAATGGATTCAAAATCATTATCACTTTTCTATAGCTATATATTTTAACTGTCTAATGAAATTTCATAGAAATTAAGATTTAAAATAGAATGTAATCAAAAAATCAAAGTTATGCCACACGTCATGCCAAATTAAATTTACTACCGTTAAAAAAAATATAATCAATTTGGGTAAAATTTTTGATTAAAAACATTTAACTTTTTTTTTCTTTTTTTTTTTTTGCGCTATAACATACATGTAAATTGAGTAGGTTTCTTTCAAAACATATATTTCTTATTTATGGTAGGGTCATATTCTTTTCTTTTTATCTCGTAGGTTTTTGACATATCATACAAAGGCGACATGGCCTATATACTTGGCTTGGAGCAAGTTTACATGTCCTATAAAGATGATAAATGACATAACGGGGTATTTAATTCTAATGCAAAGAACTATAAACACATAGGTTTTTTTTTAAAAAAAATATGTAACATGAATTTCTGTTTTGATTGTTTTGTAAACTTGTATGACAGTATAATTGTTTTGTTACATCTGAGAACATACTTCATTGAGATTTAATGATATGTATAATATGAAAAACAAGTAATAACTAAAAAAGACATAGGTACTTGAAAAAATATATTTAATAATATCGAACTGGAATGATTGTTTTGCATACTTGTAAAGCGATGAATTTTTTGTTACATCTAAGAAAATATTCCATTCGGGCATAATGATATGCAACTTTGAAAAACAAGTAACAGTTTATTACTAAAAAAATTAGTGATATGTTTACAAATCATACCCGAGTTTGAAACCTATATGTACATAAAACATTAAGACATGTCAATCCATCATTGTTACAGACGCATTCTTTTAAATAAGGAAATCAATCAAAAGCACTAGAATCATTAGGGGTTTACATTTAAATATCAAATTAATCGAAGGATCAAGTTCTCAACCGAAACTTGCTGTAATTGAAGGTATAATCCTATCGCAAAATAACCCGGTTATTTTCAAATTCACAATATTGATCTAATTCAGTTTAATATTAATCAACATACACCCTTAATACAGTAATGTCCACTCTTTTTTTTTTAAAAAAAGGGGCAACTGTGCTTATTGCCATTTCAGGTTTAAGTAATGTATAAATTTAAACTTTATAAAACTGATATATTTGGAGTCGAATTGCCCTCTCAAAAGCTGCATGAAATAAATCTTAACGGAAGAAAATGTCATAATAAAGTCAGTTATGTGTCAACGATGAGCTATTTGAGGCAATATGCTGTTTTATTGGTATGTTATCAGCCCCAACGTATGTTACCCTTTGACATACTAACAAAATGATAAATGGTATTAAAAGTTAAAATTTCAAAATTCTGATAGCTTTCATACGCTATGAATAATTATTTTACATAATCTTACTAGGGCATATAACACGCATTTGACACCCACTCTGTCCATTTTCTCATAGATGTAATGGAATTAAATGCATTTCGAAATGTAATGTCTTATTATTTTTTTTTCTGTCCCCAGTTTTGCTTTACAGTTAACAAATCAATTTGATATTGAATTAACACTTCACAAAAAAATAGTCCATAAATTTTGCCCTAAAATAAAACATTTGCAATTATCTGAGTGACTTAAATTGTTACAACCCATTGTTACAATCTAGCTCCTCCCAAAAAAATATTCCACATAAAGCATATTCCCTAAAATAAAGCATTTGCAATTAAAGACCCTTTCATCTGATCTGAATGACTTCTATTGTTATGACCCATACATCACGTGTAAAATCTAACGTTATACGGGAATAAGTAAATACAATGAGCTACAAAGCCCATAAAAAATCATATTAAATTATTTTCATAAAACTTTAACTATACCGATCTAACCTGGCTGGCTTCAGTGAGTATTATAATACTTAGCAAAAAAGCAGATTTGATCTCAGAATTCTCAAAGCATGAGCTTGACGCGTCCATTATTAAGTAATAACATTGACTATACAGAAAAGATGGGTTAATTACGAACAGATTTAGCTCTTAACTCATTTAGCCATAAATAGACACAGCCAAAAATTTATTGTGAATATAAACATAATTTTACTTTATTGGTTTTGTTTACAAATAGATTATTATGACTAATAATTAGATGATCTGTCGTTGAACTAGACGCTTCGATCTAGACCACTTCATAATTACGCAGACAGCCATGCGTCAAGTTTATAATAGACATTTTCTGTATTACGAGGAGTCTATCAACTTTCTTTGATTAAAATATAACGCCACGCGTGATTAAACATATTTCGTATATTCAGTTTAAGTCACAAAATTAAAAACATACCCCAACACTTAACGCGACAGCATAGACCCATTAAAAAAAACACAACAACAAACAACCAAGCAACCAAGCAAACCAAAACAACCAGTGACAATAATAGACAGTTTATAGATGGATACAAACAGATTAATTTTGAGTTTATTCCCTGTGTAGGTCATGTTGAAGAAGAGGGCAAGGAGTAGTATTTCTTTGATATACGTTCTTATCGCAGCACGATTTAAACTAACGAACCCTACCAAAAAATTGCTAAACATCCGTTAGATTTTTTATACGAAAATAAGTATATATATATATATTTTCATGGGCTATATTTATAACGTTAACACTGAATATTATTAAACAAGAAAGTAGAAATGTGTCTTACCTCTTTGGTAAAAACTCTGATATGGTGAGACGCTGGGTGTTTTATTGAAATCCAGAGTTCCCGGAACTTCCGAACTTCTCCAGGTATTATCTATAACATTTAGACGCTGCTGGTTATTATTGCACGTGCATGAGATGGCACAACAATTTCGCGAACATTCTTCCCGGTTGCCCAATTCCATCTCTCCCCGACAGGAATTGGATTTATAAAGTAGTCCTTCATAACCTTGTTTCAAAGAATTCGAGTCTCTGACGATAGATTGTGCGTTATTTGTAGAGTCTTGTGGGGAAGAACAAACATTTTGAAGTTTCCAATCATTATTATTTGTCTGTTTCGTATTTTCTGGCTGGAAAGGGTACACCGCTGCCGGCGAGCCGAAATAACTCGAAGTCCATGATGCCGGATACACCGAATAGTTTCGATCACAATTTGAAGATTCACTGTAAGCTGTAGGCAAATGCCAACCACGGAATGCATATGGATTCATCTTGGAGAGTCGAAGAAGTTCTGTCTCTCGCTTAAAAGTTACACTTATATGATGCAATGTTTATATATGTAGACCGAGATACTGTCGTCTGCTATGATCGTGATGGTTCAGCGTGTCGTCTGCTACTATCGTCTTCCGTTGTTGCACGTGAGGTTCTGTGTTACAGGAGTGCCCGCCCCTACCTCACTACTGTCCACTACTAACAGATTATCTGCTAAAGAGTGTAAGTGACGATGTGATTTGGGTATTTTCGCACTCGGCAACTGATCCCCGTACTTTGAAATTACTAGCCCACTGAGTCGGTCTTCTATCGCTTGATTGGCGGGTACTAAAATGATCATAAAATGGTGTGTGTGGTATTTAGCAGTTCGTTTCTACAACCAGCACAGGTTTCTAGGCTTGAGTCACGCTTCGAAGATCTACCGAGCTTCTCTCTTAAACAATGTTACTAAATTACTTACCATTGGTTTGGTATATTTACCATTCCGCAGACTAAAACGATGGAAAAAGAAATATGCACTCCCTCTATTGGCAATTGCATGATCTAGACGAATGCTTGTTGAGCGTATTGCTTGTCAGTCAAATATCGTCACAGAAAATGACTGTCAATCATTATGGACGACAGCTTGTAATATTATGTTTTATGTGTGTCGATGAAAGTTATAATTTGTTTTGTGTGATAATAAAGTATTATTTATATCATGATGTATAAGAAAATACAGAAACATGACATCTATGAAACTGATATTTTTAATAGTGAGATTCGGTATCATCGTATTTTTTTTGGAGGTCACCAGTTAACAAATGCAAAACCAAAATAGACGGCCCATAAACAATTTTTGTCTCTAAAAATAGAAAATATGCACTGTTTTAAAGCATGTTTTGACAACCCATTAAGTAAATTTGAGTAAACGGTAAAATTTTCGGAATCATCATTATATGTGGGGTCAAATTAATACGCTGTGTAGAATACGCATATCTATAACATATCTTTCCTTGTCAGTCAATATTGACAAAAAATCTTGTCACTCATTAGTAGGACCGATATTTCTATATATTTATTATGTTTGGGTAAATGAAGGCTTCGTTGAAAAATCAATAGAAAGCTGTATAAACTGCCCATATCCATAAGTTAAAACTAATCAATGTGAAGAATTTCTGGCCTTTTCTTAAGGATACTAGGAAACGGGCAATGTTTGGATAATTTGAGTTTCAGTCTGGCATAATTTTGATGACTATACATTACTGAAATTGAATTCATTACATGCGAAATAAAATGTCATGATTTAAAGCTCAACCACGTCCAAAAATAAACCCCAAACTTAAAAATATCGAAATTATGAGATGATTATGGCCTCCACGTGCCACATTAATTGAAATCTCAACATCTAGACAAATATGCAAAACTATGCTTACGTATCTTATTGGAAATATTTGTTTGAAACGTGAATATGTTTAGAATGAATATACAATTTCGGTATCAATAAAGCAACAGCATCGTGGTTGAAAATATCACATCGCGATAAGAATATCATGATTGAAAAATTCGCAACACAGCAGTATTACATTTAGTTGATTCAAATGCGCTTAGAATCTAATGGTGGAAATCGTTGAAACGTTACAATGGAAAGTAACACAAAATTAAAGTTATGGTGTTGTGTTTGAAAATGCCAAAGTAATGCATTTGTTATTTTCAGAAAAAAAATCCCATTTCATTAAAATATAATCATAAAAATTATCACATAATTGCAGTTAGGATATCATTTTCAATTGAAGGGCAATGGATAAGATGGCATTAAGACCCTTATAATGGAAACTATGACTTTGCTTGATTAACACGTTATGTCTTTAAATTTATGTTGTATTCAGATTAGAACACAATAGATGGAAAATAGATGAAATTGAAACATTATGATGGAAAACATCACATTAAAGTTAGAACGTCATGATGGAAAATATTGCATCAATAAGGCTGAATATTTATAAGAACAAAGAATAAGATACGTATTTTTGTAACGAAACTTCATAACCGTATAATAGATGAGAATATAGATACAATATAGAGCAATATAGATACAGATATTAGTCCATTTTGACCAAATTTAGCCGCCAAAGTATAATTCAGTAAATAAGACTTTAAGGTTAGAATGTGATGATACACCTTTAAATGATACATTCTGTTGATATTTAACTATTATTATATATTAATGAGGAAATGTTTACATTATAAACTGTACATTTCATACATTTATATTAAATTACAAATACTGAGATGTTTTTCTGTCCAAGAGAAGCTAATAAATATTTTTTTATTTTCAGATGTTTTCCAATGAAGTTTTGGAATTGTAGACTTATTCTATATTCGTTACGTCATGGAATAATACATATTATAAGGTCCATGGCTACAAGCAGGTGGGTAAAAAAATGGGAATCGAAAATTGCAATTTTATGAAATCAAATATTTCAACAACTGGATATCTCTTTATTGTGAAGTTTGTCCTTTATAAATTATCTGCATCAGTCACATTGCAATCCTTTTTAGACCCCATAAATACATGTAACCTAGGCCATTAAAATCTATAATCCCCAAGGCTAAGACTGTCACAGTTTCATTTCTAAACGTCTTGGACGAACTGACCCCCAGAAACGTTATAAAATATTTTATTTGTGGACGAACAACGGGGGGTGTCGGCCAGAGGAGGCTGTGCTTTCTTCCTATCTCTACACGACTCCTAGTATAATCAAATTTAGATAAACAGAAGTTGACTTATACTAAGTCTCTATATGGTTTATACGTTTACCATGGTCTCAAGTATATGCAAATGATAAACACGAAGGGATCAACAGGGTTACTTTGATATACATATAATTTTTACTTTGGTCATTCCATAATACTGACACCCTGTTTAAAAATTACAGTATTTAAAGATACATTATGGGAGATTAGACAAAGATCTGACGGTTATCACTATAATAGTTAAAAACTAGATAATGTAAAGGGAATTTGCTGAAAATGTCAGTCAAATTGATCTACTCTGAACCGAGATTTTAGCGATTGAATTTTCGGCCTAATCTCGATCATCATTACTAAAGTCGGTACGATAAAAAATACATAGGATTAAATCAAGAATGAAAGTTAAGCAGCAAATCGGATCCTAATCCAGTAAATATCGCAGGCTAGATTTGACATCGGGAGTTGATTATGGTCCGGATAAGTTAAGTAATGTCTAATTAATAATTTAGATAACATTTCAGGCCTAAAGAAAGACCTGCAATAATCAGATTTAGCTCTTGCATAATGTATGTTTAAGTGATGTAAAAATTCATACACGCCTTACGTTTGTTAAACAACTCAAATCAAACATATGCATTAAATTCCCTAAAACTGATATTCCTTCAATCATTTGTAAAATGACTCATTTACCGTTTAATATTCACAGTATTAGGAAATATAATTACGATGTACGTCTTACGTTTTTTTAATATCTGAAATCAAACTTTGGAAATTTGTTATACTGTGATGTAATGTGATGTTAGAGAATGAAATTACTAATGAAATAAATCTTTTGTTTACTGAATGACATATATGGTTTTATCAAACTAAATATTTGAGTTCAAAGTAATATATAATTTCATATTAAGATTGATGTAAATATTCATTCATTACGGTGATGTACATTTTAAATCTATTTCATTATTTGTAAGTACAATTTGCATTGCAATTGACATTAATAACCCATTGAGTTACAACTGATGCGTTTTCATTTTGTACTATTATTACAATTCTTTAAAACGTGAAATAGGATTTAACGTCCTACTGTTCCATATACGCCCTACAGTGTGCTCTAAGGAAAATTTCCCCCGGACAACGGCCTACTATTATATCGAATTCCAACTGCCAATGGATCGTTAACGTGCACGCCAATATGTACACGGAACCTCGGGCTTTCGTACCATCCGAACGACTGTATACGTTCTCCCTTGCCAGACCCTCGGTCCTGCACCGCTCACAAGGAGGAACCCGTCCGAAAAAGCGTATGGCGTATGGCTCTATTTTTTGGAACCTTGAAATAGACAAAATGGTTCTAAAAGCACACAATTATGTAATATGAATGTATGTAAAGTGAATTATATTCCATTTATTTAAAAAATATTGTAATTTCCAATCAATTATGTTCGGTGAAATACGTGACCAATTCAAATTGAACTGAAGTCATTTACACTTGCTTAGTGCTTTCTAAACGTTTTTAGAATTATTCTCTTGTCGTTTGAAAATCAGCCATAATTAATTATTTCCACATTGTGTTGTAGGATATGTTTTTATTTGTTCATTACAAAAGGCACCCGAAACCATAGGGTACACGACTCGTGTATTGATTATAAAATGTTAATTGTGTCTTAAATATTGGATATTAGGATGCTATAGTTTCACGGCAAGATAACAACATCAATATTGATTGCAATTGATCAACATTGAATTCTAATTTGTGTTTTTAATTTCGAATATTATAGAAAATATTGAGTTAGACACTTAGCTCCTTTAAGAGATATCAACCTATTTCAAATTTCGCTTTAAATCATAAAATCCTACTATAAATCAACAGTAAACAAGATAAATTATCGTAGAAAGAGCCCTATTTTATATTTGAATACGTATATTTGAAGTAAATTAAGTAATTTTACGCTTGTTGAGCACAAAATCTATCCGCTTTTGTTATTTTTATTCACCGTAAAATTAAAGAGATTTGGTAACTTTTTACTGTAGCATTTAAACACGTTTATTACCTTTTCATTCATTGTCTTTAGATGAATGAGACATCCCCTTTTCTTACGTGTTAAGTTGTAAATGTACATGATTAAGAAAGAAATCAGTTTTACAAGCCGTTTTTGTCTGTTGTTGAAGTCTTATTGAGTGATCTAGACATCATTAGAAAGACATTTGGTGCTTTATGAACACCCAAATGACTCTCTTCCTACTGGGATAATAAGATCCGCACTTCATTGAACAATACAGATATATTTTGGGGTGTTATTTATATGTCTTATTGCGAACATTAATTATAATTACCGTCTTTAATTTGCTACAAATATTCCAGAGTACCCTTCCATGTTAACGTTCTTTACATGTTATATTATAACGCCCATTTTCAAGGTATTGTTATCACAAACAATTTGGACTGACAAAAAGACATTTACCGCTTCCGCTATACTTTATTTACATTTTATA